CGTGCCAGGTTCTGGGGTTTACAGATATTTTCTCTGCGTCCATTTAAGAGTCGGTCTGTAGAGGACAACGAATCCCAACAAGGACTCAGGGCTTGCAGTGCTGAGCTGGAGCAAACTTGCACCAGCTCACAAGGATTGCGCAAATCTCTTCCCAACCCTGTGTTCAGTGACGTCATGCTGGTAGCCTGAAATAAGCCATGGTGGGAGTATTTACACCATGGAAATTGGCAAATGCTATAAATCAGGTCTTTCCCCCGCACCCTCTTTTCAGAGAGCAGGTTATTAAATATTTACCAGCACATCTCTGGCTCTGTGCCAAAAAAGGTTTCTAAAAACTGAATGAATCTGTGATTCAGAAGCCTATCTCTGGCAGAAGGTGAACAAAAAACTGGAGTCTAGGGAAGGGAAGGAGGCTAAAGATAGTAGTGGTAGGAGGCTCCTGTGGTGACCTAAACAGGAACTGGCAAAGCTTGAACCAGGAATGTGAAACATCTAAAGTTAATGTTTGTTTAAATTATAGTTATTCCTTTCTCAGCAAATTGTTTCTACAATAAAGCACCAGCAAGTTTTATCTCATGGTTTAAAATAAAAATTTAAATATTACTATAAAATCCCATAGTTTCACTTAATATGTATTACTAATGGTTGATAGAGGGGGAAAAAACAGTAGTTGAAACGCGCACACACACACACACACACACACAATCAAAAATGTGGTTTCTTGCTTTTGTCTGAAGGCAAAACACTATCAAATGACAGTGGCAACAGTCACGAGAAGGAATAACATACAGTGACTAATGTGATCGTATTTCAAAGGCTGCTAGTAAAGATTGTCTTTTCTTTGCAAAAGTAACTTTCATTAGAGCAGCATTCTATATCTCTGTTCTCCCTTCACCTTTGATACTGATGTATTCCAATAAGGCTATCAAGGATGTAGTAATTAATATATAGAATCTCTTCCAAGACTGAGTCAAAACATACCCTCAGTAGAAAGTCATTACTAATTCATCCATCTCCAACCATTACTTTTAATTTTACACCTTCTCGCCACCTACATAATCCATCTCCATTCTAGTACTTTCTTTTTTTTTTTTTAAACGGAGACTTGCTCTGTCACCCAGGCTGGAGTGCAGTGGCACGATCTCGGTTCACTGCAAGCTCCGCCTCCCGGACGCACTCCATTCTTCTGCCTCAGCTTCCCGAGTAGCTGGGACTACAGGCACCCACCACCATGCCCGGCTAACTTTTTGTAGTAGAGGTGGGGTTTCGCTGTGTTAGCCAGGATGGTCTCGATCTCGTGACCTCGTGATCCGCCCGCCTCGGCCTCCCAAAGGGTTGGAATTACAGGCGTGATCCACCACGCCCGGCCCATTCTATTTCTACAGTTTTATGTTCTGCTTTGGAACTTTTGTCAAGATTTTTCCTTCATACATCAGTTCTCATGTAGATCCTAAGCAAATCTTTTTCCTCTGTACTGATAGAAGGAAATCCCAATTTTTGCCCTGAGCTCTGCCACTAGCAAGCTGTGCAATCCTGAACAAGCCAGTCCACCTCTATAAAAAGAAGAAAGTGAGCGAAACACTCTCACAAATTACTTCCAAGTACATGAAAGTGTTTCATTTCTTCTGACTTCCCCACTGGCACCTAGGCCAGTCCTCTGTAGGCAGTGAGTGCTCAAGAACTGGTTTGTCCAGTAAAAAACATAATCCTACTCTTCTTTTGGGAAGAGGCAGTCCTCCATCTCAAAGAGAAGAACTGCTGTGTCACCAAACTAAACAGTCATAAATACTGAACTCTAAAATATCAGACCTCTGTGGTCTAGGAAAGGTCAAAATTGCATTTGGAAGTAAATGTCAGGGGCTGCAGGATAATTCACAGCCTCTGGCAATGGACACGGGGAATCTGAGTGGTTTCTGCTTTGACCACTGATTCTGAGGAGGTGAGAAACTTGCCTAACTGTGCTGTGCCTCTAATTCCCTTCGCAACTCCTCCTCTGCAGGAATAATAAAACAAGGAAAAAAACCGTTGGATTGTAAAACGAAAACAATTCCTTGCAAGCAAATAAGGTCTTTCGAGTTTGAAGTGGAAATATGAATCACATTCTATGTCAAATGCAAAACAACACATTACTTAAAACCAAAGGAATTTTAACTTTGATTGGCTGAAAGAAAATAAATCCTGTATCCTGTTTCCCTTCCAATCCAATGAGAAGCTTAGAACTCTGGGAAAGGAAACAAGAAGTTTCTGTCTCAATGAGGGTGATATGTGCTTCTTAACCATCGACTGTAAGCATAGGCAATTGTAACACAATGGTATTTGTGTATGTGAACATAGAAAAAGTACAAGAAAAATGTGGTATAAAAGATTTAAAAACACGTTCTTTGTAGGTGTAACTTGTGTGCTGCATAACGACATTTCTATCAACAACAGGCTGCATATAAGATGCTGATCATCTAGGAAGCCAAGGTTAACTTATTACTAAAGTGTTTTCCTTTCTTTTTTTTTTTTCCTGAGACAGAGTCTTGCTCTGTTGCCCAGGCTGGAGTGCAGTGGCATGATCTTAGCTGACTGCAACCTCTGCCTCCCGGGTTTAAGCAATTCTCCTGCCTCAGCCTGTGGAGTAGTTGGAATTACAGGCGCACACCGCCATGCCCAGCTAATTTTTGTATTTTTAGTAGAGACGGGGTTTCACCATGTTGGCCAGACTGGTCTCGAACTCCTGACCTTGTGATTCACCTGCTTCAGCCTCCCAAAGTGCTGGGACTACAGGTGTGAGCCACCACACCCGGCCACGGAAAACTTAAAAATAAACTTAGTGTCACCTAAGTCTACAGTGGTTATAAAGTCCATAGCAGTGGACAGTAATGTCGCAGGCCTTCACATTCAATCACCATCCACACACTGACTCATCCAGAGCAAATTCTAGTCCTGTATTACAAGCTCCATTCATGGCAACCATTTTAAAAATCTTTTACACCATATTTTTCCTGTGCCTTTTCTACGTTTAGATACAGAATATCACTGTGCTTCAATTGCCTGTAGTATTCAGGACAGTCACATGCTGTACAGGTTTGTAACCTAGGAGCAAAAGCCTGTACCATACAGCCTAGGTGTGTAGTTGGCTATGCTATGTAGGTTTGAATAAGTGCGCTTTATGATGTCTGAACAATGATGGAGTTATTGACGATACATCTCTCACGACATGTCTCCATTGTTAAGTAACACATGACTATAGATGAAAACTGACTATTTTCTTTGAGACAGGGTCTCACTCCTTCACCCAGCATGGAGTGCAGTGGTGCGATCTCAGCTCACTACAGCCTCTGCCTCCCAGGCTCAAGCGATTTTCAGCCTGCCTAGTAGCTAGGACTACAGGTGTGTGCCACAATGCCCACCTAATTTTTTATTTTTTAGTGGAGATGGATTTTGACACATTGGCCAGGCTGGTCTCAAACTCCTGGCCTCAAGTGATCTGCCCATCTTGGCCTCCCAAAGTGCTGGGAATAAAGGCATGAGCCACCAAACCCGGCTGAAAATTGATTCTTAAGATGTGAAAAACTCTTACTGTTTTTATGTATAAAGTACAGATACAGACACAGTACAAAAACAGATACACAGTATATCTGTGGTATTACAATTCCACTAGGGGAAAAGGAAACTGTATTATTAGTAAACCTGGTGCAGCCCAAAATGAAGCCACGCTAGGATATAAGACATGAACGTTGTCCAATCTGAGGGCCCCAAAGTTGAAACTTTCTGGAAAATATAATATCAGCTGCCAGAGGTTCACTGGAGGGTAGAGGATGAAAGGCACAGGATGGGGCCGGAAAGAACAGGTTTTGCTATTTCTGGAAGCTTACACACAAAGTCAATCCTCAAAGAATTTCACAGAACATGGATTTTGGATGGAAATCAGTTTACCCTCCCATTGCATGGAAGCATCAGAGGCCTGGTGCCATCGCGTCTTCAGGTTCCCACAGCAGATATCCTTCCTCCATCCTAAGGGGTCCTCAATGGGAAGAAGCATGGATTTGCCTTAGCAAGAGGCAGAGCTGCCCACAGCAAGGAATAACAGACGTCCCTCAGATGGGAAGGCCACCATGAGATACCGCCTGAGCTAGAACACAGCTTCAGACAAACCTGGCTCATCTCCCTGCAGGAAAAGATCACAGCCCAGCTTGAAGTGAGAGAAGCATCTTTTCCCTCTCTGCCAATGCTGCCAACAGTACCGGGAAATTCCATCCATGGGGGCCATGCCCACACAACACAGAGATCCTCTTCCGGCTTGCCTTTCCTCCTGCTGCCTGCACTGCTTCTCTGCAAAGTGGACTAACTGCCTGTGACAACAGAGACATCTCAGCCTACTGGGACCCTTGGGGGCCTTGTACATCCACTATCCATCACCTGTGCAGCCAGGATCTTAGCGGAGAAGTCCTTCCAATATTCCTTTGAGAGCCACCTTGCCAGTGATACTTTTAATGCCAACGTCCACCCAGGCACCGTGATGTGTGGGAACGGTGGCACCCACGGGAAGGGCACTGGGAATTTCCACTTCAAATTCACAAAGACTTTATTTGCCTGCAAGGTCCAGGGAATTGCTCTGACCCTCTCTGGGGTGAGCCATCCCTTTTTGATTTCTGTCAAATGGGAACATAAATCTCACCTTTGTTACCCTGCAGGATTTTGCAAAAATCAAGAGAAACTGTACTGCATCCATAATGCAACAATACTAGTTTCCAAAAACCATTGATGGAAACTATGAAGGTGTGAAATTACCTTTCTGTAAAGTACTGCTTCCATTTATTTTCCGCTTTAAATATTGCAAGCACTTTTAATCAACGAGGCACCAGGAGCAGAGGCTAGCACATCTGCCAAACTTAAAAACTACTAAGGGAATCATTGCACAGATTTCCACTCACCTTTGCTCATGGTCAGGTGCCCCTGGTAATGACAGACACTAAACAGAGCCACACAGAGACATCTGCAGGGTAATTACTCACCAGCTGCTGTTCTAAGGGAGGGACTGCATCATGGTGGCCGTATATTATGCCAGGATTGTACTGACTGAAAAGAACTGGATAAAATACTTTCTTCCCTGCAAACCAGAAAACAAACATTCACTTAAAGTGATAGATCCAAGTAGTAGGTTTGTTCCTTGACATTTGGCCCTCGGAAACACCCCAGATATTTGCACCCACATTTTTTTTTTTTTTTTTTTTAGAGAGAGGCAGTCTCACTCTTGTCACCCAGGCTACAATACAGTGCTGCAATCTTGGCTCACTGCAACCTCTGCCTCCTGGGTTCAAGTGATTCTCCTGCCTCAGCCTCTTCAGTAGCTGAGATTACAGGCACCCACCACCACATCCAGCTAATTTTTTTATTTTAGTAGAGATGGGGTTTCACCATGTTGGTCAGGCTGGTCTCAAATTCCTGATCTCAAATGATCCACCCGCCTCAGCCTCCCAAAGTGCTGGGATTACAGGCATGAGCCACCGCGCCCGGCCTGCACCCACTTTTCCTTTTCCCTTCACTCAGCTCTAACATGGGTTTTAGAAGTGCAGCACCAAGCAGACCAGTCAGTCAGATCTGCAAATATTTCTGATCTCCCAGCACAGGAATGATATTTGAAATACTGACAGTCCATGACCAGGCACTGGGCATCATGCCTTGGGAGGGGGTGTGAAAGAGAGTCCCGGTGCTCCCTACCCCACCAAACATTAAGCCTTTACTTGCTGGCTCATGGGGTCATCTTAAACGGTTGACTTTGGGTCAGGGTGACTTTGGGCAGTTGGACTAGAGTTAGAGTATCCAGGGTGGTAGCTCTATCAATTTACACAGAAGTAGTTCTGTATTTTAGCAATTTGCATGGCCATGCCAGTGTTCATCAGCTCAGTAGCAGCCTTGCCTATGAGTGGAGTCTGTGAAAGTTGTTAGTACTGTGGGTTCTTTGTGCGAATAGCTCTTCCACCCTAGGTAACCGCCCTCAGGTACTCCTTTCCCTTTAGGGTTGGGCAGTTTTCCAGGTCCATGTCCTCCCCACCTCACTTTCTCCTGGAAACGTTCATGAAAGCTGACCTCCCAGTTGCAGATGGAAGAGGGGTTATGGACATTAACTTGGGAACAGTCCCAGAATTACGGTGGCTGACAGGCCTATGATGTGGCCTCAGAGGAGAACTCAAACCAGATGGTGACATGGTTTGGCTGCGTCCCCACCCAAATCTCATCTTGAATTGTGGCTCCCATAATCCCCAGATGTCCTGGGAGGGACCTGGTGGGAGGTAACTGAATGATGGGGGTGGATTTTCCCATGCTATTCTCATGATAGTAAATAAGTCTCAAGAGATTTGATGGTTTTATACATGGGAGTTCCCCTGCACACGCTCTCTTGCCTGCCGCCATGACAGACTTCCCTTTGCTCCTTCTTTACCTTCCGCCATGATTGTGAGAACTCCCCAGCCATGTAGAACTATGAGTCCATTAAACCTCTTTCCTTTATGAATTACCTAGTCTTGGGTGTGTCTTTATTAGCAGCGTGAGAACAGACCGATACAGATGGTTTTCCTTTTCTTTGCTATTGGGGTAGAACAGACTAATTCAGAAGCAGGACATCAGAGTGACTGACCCATGAAAGCGACGACACATGGGCCCGAGAGGGCTGGGTGCCACCTGAGCGTGACAGAGAGAGGATCCATACCTGGTTGTGTATTCAGCCTACACGTATTGAGGAATTCAGATGTGAAGTAGATGTCAACATCACAGAAAAAGAGAAGGACGTTGCTTCCCTTCCAGAAGCGGGCTCCAACATCAAGTCCCTTTCCCCGAGAGAATTCTCCATTCAGCTGGATGAAGGTAAAGTTCCTGAAGTTGGCAGCTCTGAAAGGCAAGGCCAGGTACTGTCACTCACATGCCCACATGTTGGCAGCATCCCCTGAGAAAATATGTGATCAGGGCCCATCCATATCTTGACCCATTTCTTTTGTAACCTGAGGGCACGGGGACTCCCCAAGCAGTTAGAGAACGGCCCAGACTCACTGGATACTCACTGGGATCAAAGGTACCAAGAACACCGAGTGGAGTTTTAACACCAATTTCTTGTTTCTCTGGCAGCTTCCCCATACTAGAAACAGCATTGTCATCGCTAATGACTATTCTTTGTCATGAAGAAAACTTGAACCAGGGAAGACTAGAAACACAATCCAGGAAAATCTTCGTGCATCCTGAGTCAACCGAATGAAGCCACTGAGCCAAGGAAATAAGATCACATTGCAATGGCCCCACTTAGCATCTTTTCATCTGTATTCAAATCCAGGAGCCAGGCAACATGTTCTTGATGTGACTCTTTCCCCTAAAGAGATTTAAACCTGGACTCCTTCCCCATCCTCAGGTAAAGCAGCACAGCATGGCAGGAAAAATGACCAACTTGCAGTTAGTAGAAGAGGACTGTCTCAGGCCTGGCTCTCCTGTAGGCAGCTCTGTGATCTAGGCCAGCCCATGAATCTTCCTGAACCTCAGTTGCCTCATCTGCCAAATAGGTGTAGTAATATCTTCCCTCACTATCCCACAGGGTTATTAGTGAGATAAACAGTGCCAAGAGGATACAGCACTCTGTACGCTTCAGCTATTGCTGTGATTAGCATGGGCAAGGATTCCCAGGCTCCAGGCCATGAAGCCAGGATGTTTCTTGTTCTTTCCCAGGGACAGCAGAATGTTCTGAAATGGGGCACGTCTTGAGCTAACATTCCACGAATTCATTCCATGCCCAGTGGGACAGGTGTTGTCTTCTACCAGAAAATACTAGAGAACCACCTTCAGCCCTCTTTCAGCCTAGCAAATCCCTTTTTCTGTCTATGACACCCTTCTTTTCCTAATGGCTTCCTCTCCTCTCACACTCCCCGTCGTGCCAGCTATCTGGCCTATCCCCATGCCCCAACTTCTCTCTACTCTTTCTTTCCAAAAGGTACAGAAACTCATTTCTAATTTGTAAAGTTTACATTTCAAGTACCTATCTTGGGTAAAGGCCACACAAATATAGAGTCATAAACTTTTAAAATGCTAAGTTGTGTTTGTATTTGGAATTGAATCAGTAAAACTGGTTCTGCCACTCCCTCCTTGACTCATCTTCTTCTTTTGGATCTTGGAATGAGCTTGGTTTTTTATCTTAGGGATCAGTGGGCCTATGTTAGAGTTTGATGCCAAACATGCCTTTCAGATTTAGATCAAGGTAGGAGGCCTTATGATGGGTAGAGCACTGGTCTAGGAGTCTGGAAACCTGGATCCAGGGCTAAAACCATGCCTGGGTCCCTCCTAAGTGTTCAATAGATGTTTTAGAATGACTGCATGAATGTACGAATGATTCTAAACCTAGCTGTGTCTCTGATGGATTTGAGACAAGTCACTCTACCCCTTTCGTCTCTGTTTCCAGGTACAAAATCCAGTGGTTATAGAGCTCAAATACCCTATCACACGCTAAGATGCTATTCTTCTTTGGTTAAAATAATTTACTTTGCATATGTACATTATATATACTTGTATGTAATACACTTTTTGTTTTAGAGACAGGAACTTGCTCTGTCACCCAGGCTGGAGTGCAGTGGCATGATCATAGCTCACTACAGCTTCAAACTCCTGGGCTCAAGCAATCCTCCTCTCTCAGCCTCCCAAGTAGCTGGGACTACAGGTGCAGGCCACCATGCCCAGCTAATTCTTAAATTTTTTTTTATAGAGACAGAGTCTCATTTTGTTGCCCAACTCTTGGCTTCATGCAGTCCTCTTGCCTCAGCCTCCCCAAGTGCTAGGATTACAGGCATGAGACACCACACCTGGCCAAGACTCTCTTTTCCTATGATCCTGCATTCACTTCAGCACCACTCCACATTTGCAGCGATTCTCCTCTTTCAGAACTTTATCTTGAGTCTTTTCTCTGGGTGGGTGCCCCCAGTGCACATGTTCCATGTGTTGCATTGAAGTTATGCTCCAAAACCTTTTCAGTACTAGGTATGGCACTAGTCAAGGACAGCGCTATCCTCCCGTCTCCAAAGACATTCAGATGGTGTGAGGTCACTGCAAGCACCTTCATGTCTCTTAGAGGTGTCTGCAGCCCCAGCTCTTGTAAGTCAGGACAACCCATTTCTCCCTTCCTGGTTTGGTCAGTTTCCAGGAAAGTTTTACCCATGGGAGATGCCTGGATTTTTGCCTGTTCATCTAAAGGCATCTCATCCTGGAGTCCACCTTGCTTTAATTTTCTGTGTATTTAATATATACAGCCAGTAGTCAGTCTCTTTCTTGGTTGTTTCCAGGTTTTCATCTTTGGGACCTCCTCCTCCCCATTATACAGGGATATCTTCTAACTTTCAGAGTACAAACACAATGTATGAGCAAGTCCTTCCTCACTCAGGTTGTACCTGACTCATAATTCAGGTACCTCCTCCGTGAGGGTTTCCAGGATCTACTATATGGGAGTTCAACTATAAAAATACCTGAACAGTAGCAAGTGCTTTTGCCAAGGGAAGAAGAATATAGGTTCTTCATAGGCTGCATTAAATGAGCTGCGACATCAAGAATCTCCCCCTTGAACAGGTTACAGTCCATTTGTATAGATAGGTCAAATATTTACAAAAGTTAAATCATGTTGAGTAATTCAATAAGAATACAAGACAGCGTTAGAAACTGAGGTAACAGCATCAAAGAAATGATGAGTCTACGGGTGACTGATTAATTGCCGAGTGAATGGTAGAGATAGTGTTACAAATTTAGAGGAGAGAGTGGTAATTAGGTGGTGTGCATGCTTACACAATGCACAAGTTAATCTAGTTTATTCTGTGCACGAATCCCCTAACCCTGGCTTGAGCTGTTGCTAATAAATGCTGTTCCCTCCTCTGCTGCAACAGAAGACTGGGTACAGGATGGGCTTCCTGTCAAAGTTATGGGAAAAGGGGTGGGAAGAACTCACGGTACCTAGTGTTTGACATGACCTTCATTTGGAAGAACTTTTTTTTTTTTAAGTCTTAAAACATAAATCCCTATGCTTCCATGATGTGTTGCTTCTAGAGAAAGAAAATTCAGGCAAATGGATGCTGGGGAATGCTTTGTATAGCCTAATGCAAAAGGCAATTTGTTTCCTTTCCTTTCTCTTCCTACAAGGGTAAGACAATGCATGTTATATCCATGGTGATACCCAATCTGAATATGCATTTCAAATTCACTTTGTGTGTCCACAGGCTGCAGAGAAAGCCCTGGGAAGTGGTACCCAGCTCTGTCCACGCACTGTTTCCATGTGGACCATACGGGGGCCAGTGTACACGCACACACAGCACCAGACACCTCTGCTCGCCTGTTCTCCCTGCCCCATGCAGGGAGATCTGTCCTGATCTAGCTTTGCCTGGGACTTTCATCCACCCTGATCAACACTGGCCAGAAGGCAACATTGGTGGCCTAGCAGTATGGGTCCATGTTAGAGCTGCTGTGAAGCCCTGACCACTTACCAGGCCCTGATGAGAGAGCAGAACATGAGTGTGCACAGAAGGCAGGGTGGGGACAGAGTCACTGCTGGCTTGGGAAGCACCATCAGGCAGTCACAGACACTGGAGAGGGCCCAGAGCGCTAACTCTGTCATCCATCCATGCTTCCCAGGGTGGCTGCCAGGTCATTATGCTCAGCTAGGGGTCTGCCTGATGATGAATCATGGTACCACTTTCCTTCCGGATTCCTCAACCCAAGGCTTTTTTCCAATAAGCCAGTGATCTGAAAGAACCCCTCCGTGTCCTCTCTTGCCATCAGGAAGAGCCTCTGATAATTACCAAGCGCCCTCTGCCAAGAAAGAGGACTGAGCTGAAAAAACTATGAAAACAATCAAGACAACTTCCTGTCTTTGCCAAACCTCCTGGGCCTAGAAGTGGGGCAGCCTCCTCATCTGAAACTTATCAGTACCGGCCATGTGGGCTCCGGAACAGGATATGACAAGATGAAGAGGAATTGGCTTCTACAAGTAGTCAGCCCCTTATCAATGCACCATATCCTCATTTTGAAACAGTGCTCATTGGGCAGGGACTGCATCACTAGACTAAAGTGCCCCCTGCTCAACAGTGCATTAAAAGGCAGCAGAGCCATTCAAACACAATGAACCATTTCAACTCTCATCACTGATGTGCCCTACGAAGTGTGATGGTGTGGCTGGGGAAGGTCCACACCATGGCCACGAGGCTACAGCCCCCAAATGCAGACTACAGTGGTTCCCAGGCAGGCATGCTACTTTATCCTCTCTCCTGCTTCCCCCTCAAGTGACCAGCTGGGAGTAGATGGTTACGATTGTGAAAGAAAAATATCATCTCAAGACCCCAAACTCAACATGAAAAAGGGAAAATTAAGCTTGAGAACTGAGTCACCAAGACTGTTCTCCTAGCCAGGCGCAGTGGCTCATGCTTGTAATTCTAGCACTCTAGGAGGCCGAGATGGGCAGATCACTTGAGATCAGGAGTTCGAGACCGGCCTGACCAACATGGTGAAACCCCATCTCTATTAGAAATACGAAATTAGCCAGGCTTGGTGGTGGGCACCTGTAATCCCCACCACTCGGGAGGCTGAGGCAGGAGAATTGCTTGAATCTAGGAAATGAAGGTTGCTGTGAGCTGAGATCATGCCATTTCACTCTAACCTGGGCAAAAGAGCCACATTCCATCTCAAAAACACAAAGAAACACAAAAACTATTTTCCTGCTGTTCACTGACAGAAGCTGTAACTTCATAACCCCATGTCACAGTCTCATTTTCTTGACTCCCTCCTTTCACGTGTGTTCATTTTGTAGATTTACTGAGCATGAGGCAATGCAGAATCCATTTGTTCCTCTGTTCCCCCTTTTCACATGTGAAACAGAGAAT